GATGTGTCTATTTCTGACACAGCTGTTGTCTTCTTCCTCTTTCTCCCTTAGCACCAGCCTCCCACTCATGAATACAGGCCCAGTGTGGGGTGGGGTGGGGGTACTGGCACTGGGATTCAAGGGTTCACATACTCACTGTATCAGTAGGCCAACCCTTGCTGATGGAGCTGATCTAATGAGATAAAGAAATGAGTACATGCTCCTGGTTTAAGTGCAAATTAAGACTTAAACCTGCCCGTAACCTAAATGTATATGGTTTAAGACATGTGTCTAAGAACTGCCTGGCTTTCTGTAAAATGTAATCACACTCTCAAAGGTGATGGCGGGGGGAGGGAGAAGCTTCTTTAGGGAAGGGAGGCTTGGCGTCTTGTTCCCAAATGGAGAGGGCAATGCAAGACGCCCCACCCCCTGAAAATTCAGCATACACTGCACCCTGGCCCTTCCGATTGCTATCTGTAAACTCCTAAACACTACAGATATTTCTATAGCTCTTTCCAGTTTTAAAAGGGTTCCGGTACCCACGGTTTCATTTGATCCTCATGAATACTCTGCTAGGGGTAAAGGACAGGCTGCTTGCTGTATGCAGGGAAACTAAATCTCTGGCGCCACAGAAATCAGAGAAGCCAAGATCTGGGTCTGAGGGTAAATATTCATTGAATTGAACAAACAGAAATAGGTAGGGTTGTAAAGTAAACCAGGTTTCTGCCCTTAAGAAGTTCACAATCTAGTTGGGGAACATGTCCAAAAAACTCCTTTTTAAAAAATTAAAATAAGAATGTAAGGATTAGTTAAGGAAACACATGGGGAATAAGGCAAGAAAGTGCTTTGACTTGTAGGGTTTATGTATAGAACGTTCACCCTGTGATTAAAATGAAATTCCTTCACCTGCTGCCCTTGGTCCATGTGAAGTCACTGTTTCACACTCTGGGCTGTACTCAAGATTCTGTATGGCGACTCTCAGGTCTTCAGCTTTCTACCTCAGTTATGGTGATGTCTGGGTTGTCTCCTCCTCTTCTGTCTGGTATCTACAGTGCAACTGCTGGCTGAAAGAATCAAAATTATTATTATTTTTTGAGGTCATGGTAAACATGAAAAGGGGGAAGGAGGAAGCTGCCTTCAGTGTTCCATCTTCACCAGCCACAAATGTTGAAGGGAATGGACTTTAGAAAATGCCGTGATTACACATGAGGAGAGATACAAACGAGGGCCGAGATTCAGGGTGAAATACTGACCAGGGAAAAGGAGAAAGGAAGAAGTCAGAACATATATCCCTGGTCAGCACTGTTTCCTCTGATAATTATGCGTTGTTTTTACGGGGCTCACACCATTTAAAATTGAGATTCCCCACAATCTAGGATGGCACTAGTCCATACCCACTGTCCTTGAAAAAACACAAACACCCCAGACACATCTCCACCTTCACCTGGGAGATTCAGATCCTATCTTTACTCAGTCCAATCAGGACTAACACACTGACAAAAACATGTGCACCGCAGAAAAGACGCAATCTGTGTACATCTGCCTTTGAGCAGATATGAGTTACATGTGTGCATACAAAATATTTGGAAGGACACCCATGAAATCGAAAACAGTTCCTTTCAGTAACGTGAGATTAGACACGGAAAAGAGATTATTAACTTTTTCTTTACACAACTGTCATTGGGCTTGTTAAAACAGGCATGCAAAATCTCAGTGCACTTGAGAATAAAATGCTCATGATTATAAAACTACACAGAGTACAGTTCAAATATGTGCATGTGAGACTAGCCTAGATGGAAATACTTTAATGAAAACAGTCAATTTACTTCATTTATTCCACTATTTTTTAACAGCTGGCATTGTTCTAGGTACTTGAGATACAAAAAGAAATCAACCAGTCAAAAATGCCTCCTCTCATAAAACTTATAATCTAGTGGGGTGAAAAAAACAATAAATAGTAACATATTAAAAGCATGTTTAAGAGGTGATGTGTGGTATGGAAAAAAAAAATGAAGCAGGGTAAGGGAACCTGGCAGCACTGTGGGTAGAGGGCAGGTTTAACAGGTTGATAAGGAACTCAGTGAGAGAACATTTGAGAAATAGCTGAGATAAAGGTAATAAATATCTATCTACCTATCTTCCCATGATTATATATGTATGTATAGGAGACATATATGTAAATGTGTGTGCGCACGCGCGCGCACACACACACACACACACACACACACACACACACACACACACACACACAAAGCCAGAGATGACTTCCACTGCAAAGGACCAGATACAGACTAAAGGAATGGCAATAAGGACAGTAATGGCTTATGGTAAGTGAAAGGAAAAGAACAAATAATCAGAAAAGCAAGCACAGCAGGTGGTACTGGATTTTGAAGAATAGAGTAAGTACTTTGGCTTATCTTTCAGGTAAAATGGGTAACTTCTGCGCAGTTTTGAGCAGAGGAATACCAAGATACTTTGGACTGCTATGTAGAAACCTGGCTTTGTGCTGAAGCAGACAGACCAGGCTGTCCAGGTGAAGGATAAGGGTACCTGTGGAGCTGCTGAGGTGGCGTATGCCAGATATAATTTGAAGTTAGAGCCAGCAGGATATTGGGTACCAACTGACCATGAGAGAGAATAGGGTGGCTCTTTGGATTTTGACCTAAGTAAATGAAGTTGCATTAATTTAGGTGGGAGAGATGGCTGAGTTGGTTTGGAAAAGAAAAAGAACTTAATCTGAGAATGTGGCATAACTGAGAGTAGCAGTGACATAACTTTTTTTTTTTTAAGATGTTCTTAATGTTATGATGTCATCTTTCAGCATTTCAAGACTCTCACAGCTTGGGGAAGTCACATGAATGGGAGGATAGCCCAGAAGTTTATAGAGTCTGAGTTCCAGTTAAAAAAAAAAAGGGGGGGGAGGCAGGAAGGTGGTTCAGTGGTGGAGTGCTTGCCTCGCATGCATGAGGCCCTGGGTGTGATTCCTTAGTACCACATAAGCAGAAAAAGCCGGAAGTGGCACTGTGGCTCAAGTGGTAGAGTGCCAGCCTTGAGCTGAAGAGCTGAGGGACAGCGCCCAGGCCCAGAGTTCAAGCCCCACGACCGACACAATAAAATTTAAAAAGGGGGGAGAGGGGAAGTTTAAGAAGCTGCTGCTCATTCCAGTCTTGGCAAAGAGAAGATGTAAATGAGATGACATAGAAAGCTCCAAAAACTATTAGCGATTGTCCTTTTCAGCTTGAAATAAGGAAGGAAAAAAAAACAAAAACCAGGCAACAGGTCAATTTTGTAACTTGTGTCTCGAAAGAGGCTTCTTTTAAGGAGACAGGTGGCAGTGGCAGTGCTGTGTGTGGTTTCTAGAGGTGGCCAGGTTCCCTGGAAGGTCCTACCTCATCCCTCCAGTGATGCAGTGGGGGGGGGAAGCAAGCGACGAACGACAGTGCTATTGAGAGAGCTCAGCCTAAGGAGCAGGTAACTCAGACCTGGGTGCCTTCTGGATTTTTTTCTCTCAAGGAGGAGGACCAGCATCAGAACATCAGAAGCCCGGTCCAGCGCCGCTGGCTGTTGCTAGGTGATTTCCTCCAGCAGGGATTCGGGCGGGAAAGGCCGCGCGTAAGCTCCGCCCCCACCTCGGCCGCCCCTTGGCCACGCCCCCTTCCCCGCCCCAGTCCCACCTACGGAGACAAGCCGACCCATCAGCACTCGCGACCGGCCGAAGCCTCACACCCACTCGCTCCCACCCGCCCCGCACGCATGCGCTCTTCTTCCTGCGAAGCCAACGTGACGTCAGCTCCCGTGCCAGGCCCTCGCCTCTGCCCCGCCCCCACCGGTACAGCCGCTACCACAAGTCCCCTAGCTTCGTCCTCACCTGGACTTGGCTCTGCCAGCCCGTCGCCTTCCGTCCTGTGGACAGTGATTGTAGAGCCACTTCCAGCCCATCAGATTCCCCCCACACCTCCCGTGCTCTCGTGGTGGCGGTGGTCACAGGCGGGGGACGCGGGGAGAGAAAAGGCGGGATGTGGGAAGGCCTAGTCGTCGCTCCGAGCCCACTTCCGGAGGACGGGCGGAAGTGGCTGCGGTGGATGGTGGGAGGGGGGTGGGGAGAAGTGCAAGGGGAGGGCCGGGCCGCCGGGGGTCCGGGGGGTGGGGCCTGGGCCGCCGGTGGGACCGGGCCTGGGGCCTGGACTGGGACCAGCCGGGGCCGGCCGGGGCTTCCGCGGCGGCACGCGGTGGGCGGGATGCAGGTAACCGACCCGGCGCGGGACGGGGCGGGCGGGGGGGGTGGATGGGGTTCGGGGCGGGGCGGGGGGCGCAGTGTCACTCCTTCGCCGCCTGAACGCTGAACGCGGGGTTCAGGGGAGAAGAGTGGGAGGAGTTAAATCCTTGGTGGAGGAGGAGGAGGGGGGGGGTCATGTGGACGCCACGCCCCTACAGGAAGCCAGAAGAGTGTGTGTGTGTGTGTGTGTGTGTGTGTGTGTGTGTGTGAATAAACTTACAGAGGAGGGGGCCGGGGGGGGGGGAGTGTTGGGCTCTCGGGCTGAGAAATTGGGGCACTCAGGCCTCAGACGTTCCCGGAGAGTGCGCTCGGGAGTGGCCCTGCCTGGGAAGGAGTTGGATGGAGATTGAGAAGATTCCATCCTTGGCACAGTTTTGGAAGCCGGGGCGGGGATCGCCGTGGTGAGGGGTCGACCGCCCGTGGGGGGAGAGGGGGGAGGTCAGGGATGCGCGTGGAAGGCGCCCGCCCCCTCGGTCTGGAAAGGATTGAGTGCGGTTGAAGAGAGCTGGCGGATGGAAACACTGAACCCCCTAAGAGGCTTGGGAGATTGGATTTCTAAGTGTCGCTTCAGATGACAGGTGGACGTTGTTCTCTGGGTTCCTTAGGAGCTTACCCGGCTCACGCTGTCAGGGCTTTTGGTTACTTTTCTGTACTGAGAATAGGTTCAGCTTTTTATCTTGGAGCCCTAAGTATGTACCCATCACGTATTTTTTTTATTTTGTGGGGGGTCCAATGTGTTAATGAAGTAGAGTAATCTGGTAGAGTATTTGAAGAAGGGTTTTGATGACAGTCTAGTAAAGGAAGGTAATTTAGATATGGAGGGGGAACTAAAAAGGCTGAGAAATCAGTTTGGATGTGAGTGTCATAATGTTTTAATGTTCCTTAGGCTAACACAGAAATCAGCCTCGTGGGCCATGCCGGCTTTAAGGCCTGTTTCTTCTCCTGAGCTTCAGCAGAAGGCCGATGGACCAGTCCTCACCGTGGATGACTTCCCCTGCTTGAGCAAGCCATGCTATAGTACCTGGAATCTGACCCTCACTGAAGTCCGAGCTTAATAAAGCCAGCTGAATGAAGGGATGTAACAGACCTCTGGGAGAGACACTGAGGTCTGCAGTGGGGGGGGAGGGGCCTGGACACACCCCTTCCCCCCAGACTCCTCCCCCTCTGGGTCCTCTCAGCCATGGACTTTGAACCTGGATAAGAGGAGAGAAGCCACACTTTGTTTGGTGGATCTGACTTGTGGTCTCAGTTTTGGAAATGGAGTGCCGGATGGGGGTTTGGTGATCTCCAGAGGAGCAACCGAGAGAAGAGAAGGTAAGGTCCCTCTCTCCTTTCTGGCTTAGTGCCTTGTTACTTCAGTGCAGAAAATGTTGAATGGGGGAAAGGAAGTGAGGGCACAGGAAGTATCTGGTGAGAACTCTGTATTTTGATGATACACAAGAAGCTTCAGCTCTTCTCCATTCTTTGTGATTGCAGACTAGTTTCCCTGTCCTTTCCTTACCGAGTCCTGAGGGTACCTGTTAAAGGATTATGAGCACTTATAATTTGTCTGAGTAGGTCAATGAGGCTAGGCCAAAGAGCACATGAAAAGGCTAGTGGATTAGATTACCATTAAAAGTCTTTCCACCTGTGAAATAATAGGACTCAGGTCAGTTTGGGCTGAGATTCTGAAATGGATTACTCAGACTCTATTTTGGGGAAAGAACAGAATTAGGTGTTGAGGCGGAAAGGAGAGGAAATGGTCTAGATAACTCCCCAAATTATCTCTTTTCCTCCTATCCCTATACGAGAGCTTAGGTCATGAAACCTCATAGCACAGAAATAGACACTATCACGGAAATCAGTATATCAGTAGCTCTGACACTCATAGGCAGTGCGCAGGCTTAGATAATGTTGAGCAACCACCCTGCCCTGTTTTCTTTCTCTCCACTTGCAAGAAGATCCCTTGTAGGTAATCAGGAACGCAAATGGAGTAATGAATGTTGAGAAGTAGCCAGGACTCTTTACGTATAAAACAGCAACACTGACATTCCCTGATATGCCTGAAGCACACACAGAGCTCTGAATTAGATGTTCTGTACTTGTATCGAATTAGTGTGCTGGCAGAAACCTTAGGAAGACCTCCTTAATTAAAAGCCTGCCCTGAATTTGTCTCATCTTCTTGCCATTAATACCTAGGATTGTCTCGTCGTAGGAAAGGTGAACAGTTTAAGGAGAACTTAAGTTGAGAGATTATGCCAAGAACTGCACTGGTCCCAAAAGCTCTTCAGTTAGCTTGGCAGTGTTCCTTTTCTCAGAGTAGCAGATTAAAGGGGGGGGTGGTGTAAGATAAGAGGGCTGGGAATGTGGCTTAGTGGTAGAGTGCTGTGCCTAGCATGTATGAAGCCCTGGGTTTGATTCCTCAGTACCACATACACAGAAAAAGCCAAAAGTGGTGCTGTGGCTCAAATGTAGTAGTCTTGAGCAAAAGCAGCTCAGGGACAGGGTCCAGGCCCTGAGAAGTAGCCCATTCCAAGCCTGCCTGCTGTTGGGTGGGTTTCAGGGTGGGGATGTCATCTCCTCCAGCTTCACTCCGCAAATTCCTGCTGCCAGCTGTTGTCTAGCCACAGGGATCACATTGGTCCCTAAGGTCTTGGTGATCCCCAGCTTCCTCCATTCCTCCACTGCCATGGCCCTGCTCCCCCTCGGTGTGAGAAGGCCTCCCTGTCTCTTGAGTGCTTCCAAGCTCTTGAACTTGTTGGACCCGGGGCGCCTCCCGTCTGTTGTGTCAGTTTTCTGTCACTTTGTGTGAGGAAGACAGTGCAGGGATCATTTTCCCAGTGTGAGGAGAAGCTCTGAAAGCCCTGAGTGGGGTGGCTTGCCTAAGGCTGGAGCGGCAGACACTGAGGTCGCCTGTGTAGTGCCAAGCTGTTTTACAGCATCCGACCTGACAAGGGTCTCCTGCATTCTGCTCAAACCTCCAGGGAAAGGAACTCTGTATCTTGTCTGACAGCTGCTCTGGCAAAAACATTTCCTCCTCCAACAGATTCCTCTCCCCTGTCAAGAGCAGTGGCTTGGCTCATCGCTGCCTCTCAACTTCCTCCCCCCCCCCCCCATTACTTTAACTGAACTTATTTGTACTTTTCTGTATTCTAAGACATTTAGGTGGCTAGGCTAATGAAGGACCTGAGGACAGTGCTGAGTAATTACAGCCCTGAGCTGAGGGACAAAGATTTTAGGAAGACAGAGAGAGGAAATTGTTTACTGGTTTAACACTTTGCTTTTTCTCCTAATGGTTTCAAGCCAAGGTCTGTCTTGAATCCAAGGCCCGAATTCTCCTTGTTAAGCAGTCTTCGAGTATGTATGGTGAGGGGCAGTTTCCTGAAAAAAATGTCACTTCCTTTTTCTTTCTCTACTTCCCTTTTGGTGGTTGTGGGACTGGCAGAAGAGCTTATTCCATCTTTCAAGTCTCTTTATTCTCCCAGTCGTACTTTCACATAATCGGATCCCAGGCTTAGCTCCAGCCTCTCACCTGGATCCTTTTTCCACTCTTCTTCCCTCACCCCCTCTCTCCATGGAATGAATCTGTCAGCAGCCCAGGGCTTCTTTCCAGGTCATGACACTCATCTTCAGGCTTCATGCATCTCAGACCAATTGTTTTGTTTAGCTTCCATGCAAGAATCCATCCTATCCTTAACCTCTACTAGTTCTTCTCTTCTTTGTATAGAAGCACTATCCAGATGCCTTTGGAATTTCACCAAGGGACTGAAGAGCTGGGGGCAGGGTGAGTTAAGGCACACAGTCTTCTGTCTTGTTTCCCACGTACCTGCGTTCGATTGGAGAGGTGGCACAATTCGAGATGGGCATCTGATGTGGCATGGGCCGGGCAATCTCGGTGCCCATCCTTTGTCCAGGAGGTGATTTTAGCTCCTTAGATCTTAGATCTGTAAACCAGTTTCCCTACTTTTTACACTTTTGAAGAACTTCCTCATTTTCCCTCCCACTTTGATACTGAGTGGGCGTGTGCAGGGCCCGACTCTCCCCCCAGCTCCTTCACAGAGCAAGTGTAGGAAGAGGACAGAGTGCAGAGATGCCAGCCTCCGCCTGGCACGTGAGCATAGGCTTGAGTTTCAGTCCATGCAGTCAGTTTAAGCTGTAAACCGGCACACACATCCCACCTGCCCCCGCCGTCCCGCCTCACCAGTGCGTCAGCCCTCCTCTCTCCCCAGCTACTTACCTAGATTGTCTCGGCCATCCCACTGTATTCCTGTTGTACTGGCACACAGTCGTCTCTGAGAGCTGTACTAGTCAAAGGTGCATGGAGGAGGGAAGCAGTGCTAGATTTGGAGCAAGAATACCCACATCTCAAACCTGGCCCTGGCTCTCCCTGAGTGTGACTTCCAGCGAGCTGGGGCTTGCTCTCCATAGCTACTAGGAGAGTTAACAGAGGGGCCCAGGGAGGAGGGGCCTAATGACCCCTTCCAGCTTTGCTTTAGCTTCCCCCCCCCCCCCCGGGCCTCTATTACATGCCACACCGTCCTGGCATCATGTAGGAGCAAGTTAGCGAACTCATGCACCCAGTAAAACCCGCCGCTCTGGGCTGGGAGCACCCAGGGAGGCACGCGCATGGCCCGCAGGAGTTCTCAGCTCCCACACTCCTTCCGTTTGGGTGGTGAGCGGGGTGAGGTGGGTGGCGGGGAGCCTCTGCGGAAGGTCAGGCAGGGTAGGGCCATGCGAGGGGCACAGGGGTCCCCAGAGACCTGAAGGCTACCCATCTATGCAGGGCCTCGGAGACCTTCTCCCCGGCCCTTCCGCGCCTTCCCTCCTCGGTCGCACTTGGCTTGTGGCTCGCCTCTGCGCACAGTGTTACCTCCGTTACTCTGCCTGGGCCCTGAGTCTTTCCTCCCCGCCTGCTCGCTCGCCCCTTCCCCTTCACAGCCCTGGGATGGATTCCGTCCGTCCCTCCTCCCGCAGCCCGGAGGTCCTGCCCGGGGGCAGGCCTGTGCCCGCTCCTCCCCTCCAGCCAGCTGCTCTCGTTCCCCGCCCCCAACCGAGAGGAGCTTGGCAGCTGCCCGCCCCGCGCCGCGCCGCGCCCGGGCAGGTGCTTCCTCCCCGACTTCCCTTCTGGCAGCCCGGCTGCTGCCCTCAGCCCGGCCCGATCAGCTCCTCGGACCCCCGCCTCCCAGGGCTGGGGCCCGGAGGCTGCGCCGTCCTTAGCCTCGGGGCCCCACCGCCGCACCCCACCTCCTCCACCCGGCTGTCCCCCCTCCCCGACCGCGGAGCGGGGTGCCCGGGGGCGTCTTAGACTGGAGGGCGCAGAGGTGCGGGTGGGGTCGGGCAGCGTCCGTGGAGCTGCGTCGGGGCCCCAAGTAGCTCCGTCCACCACCGCCCTGGAACTCGGCGGCCCGGAACGCGGGTTTGGATCCCGGCGGGTGACCGGGAGGCGGCCGCCCGGGAAGGAGGGCGGGGCGCGGGCCCTCCAGCCCCGCCCCTCGTCCGCCGGCCCCGCCCCCGTCCTCCCGCCGGCCCCGCCCCCGTCCTCCCGCCGGCCCCGCCCCCGTCCTCCCGCCGGCCCCGCCCCCGTCCTCCCGCCGGCCCCGCCCCCGTCCTCCCGCCCCGCCCCCGCCCGCCGGCCCCGCCCCCGCCCCGCTGGCCCCGCCCTCCCCGGGGAAGGGCCACGTTGTCCCGGCCGAGCCCAGCGGCCCCGGCGCGCCACAGGAAGGGCCGCGGGGCCACAGGGACCGGCCGCCGCACGGGCGCCTGACCTTCGCCCGGGCTCCGAGCTCGCTCCCCGCGCTCCGGGACGCCCGCGGGCCGGGCCGGGCCGGGAAGTTGGAGGACCTGGTGAGTGGGGCCCCGGGACGCCGGCGCCCTGAGTCCCGGGGTGTGTCCCCGCTGCGGGACGAGGTCCGGCCGGGGGAGCTGGGGGGGGGCAGGCGGCGGGAGCTCCGGGAGACGCGGGTTCAAGCCCCCGTGCCCCAGAGCCCCCGCGGGAGGAGCCTGCCCCGGGAGCTGGGGTCCCCCAGCGGGGAAGCCCGGCGCGGGCGCTCGGGATCCCGGGCCTCCAGCTGTGGGGGGGCGGAGGGCGGGCGGGCCGGGCCGCGGGGCGGGCGGGCCGGGCCGCGGGGCGGTGCTGACACTCATCCTCCGGGCGCCCGCCGCGGGAGCGGGTGGGGCGGGCCGGAGCTGGGGGCGCCGCGGGGCTCGGGAACCGGAATGGGAAGCGCTTTCCCTGACGCTGCACTGTGTCGGCTGGCGAGGAAACTTTCTTCCCACCTGTTCGCCGCGTGCGTGGAGCCCAGGGCCCCCGTCTTGCCACCCTGGGGGCGCCGGGC